AATCCAAGTATTCATCATCATAACTCAGAAATTCTCTTTAGTTCTCTATCCCTAGGTCTCCATTTACTCAATGCTGCAGGCAGACTGGTGGACCCTGAGAAGGCTTAGGACTTCTAAGGGGCTGTGGTAGCTATTTGCTGGTAGCTTTAGTGACCCATAACTGTGAATACCCCTGTATGCATCCTCTTTCTTACTCAGGTAACTTGGGTTGAAATTCAGGGCCCTGAAGCTGCTTTGAGGCCTTAATTGCATGAGTGAGCACTAAAAATGTCAAAACAATCACAGACCAGAATAACAAAGCAAAGTAAAGCCAAAGAATGTTTTCAAGGTTATTCGTGCATGTTGCTAGCAGGATTCAGGTTTTTTCCCAAATGATTCTCAAAGAGTCATTTATAATTTAATGAATTTATGTTTGATTCTTCTGAGCACACAGATGCATATTTTTGTTGGTTCTGTACCAGACCACATTAATTACTATCCTTTGTATTACTCTCACATCTCTGTGGTAGATGAATACTTAAATTGAATGGGAGGTAAAGAACTGTATTTTCAAGGTACATGTCTCATGTTTCAGTGTCTGTGTGATAAAAAGGACGGGGGAAAGTCTGTTGTAGGTTAAGCTGCATGAGGTATTACGATCGTATAAAGCATATATGAAATTTGGTGAAACACTTTTCCAAAGATAATTTTCTCCTTGTATTAGTAACTAAATTGACATACAGGAGGGAGAGGCCTTCCCTAAGATTGACTTTCTTGGTAGTTAAACCTGCAGCTAGACGTTTTAGAAGCAGATTCCAAGGAAGTGAATAGATGGTGAGGTAATTTTCTTAAGTACTTGGATCATGATTGTCTCTGGAGGCTTTGAAGCTATATTACAAACTAGACTGATTTGATCTCCTGGGATCTTTGCCACGTTCATAATTGCACTGAGATTTTTTTTTTTTAATCCTCACCCGAGGACATTTCTGCATTTATCTTCAGATAGAGCAGGAATGGGGGGCGGAGAGAGAAACATTGATGTGAGAGAGAGACATCGGCTGGTTGCTACACACACAATCCTGACTGGGGCAGGAGACAAACTGCAACTGAGGTACGTGCCCTTAGTGGGAACTGAACCCCGGACTCTCTGGTCTGCAAGCCGACATTAACCACTGAGCCAAACTGGCCAGGGCCGCACTGAAATTTTTAATGATCACAAATGACAACATGATGTCCTTTCCTTTACTCAGGAGAGAGGTGATTCCTAGATAAAATGGAGTAGGTTTTAGTTTGGAAAGTCAGACTTCTCATAGGCCAAACACAGCAGTATACCTAAGATATAATTATGCATCCACTGAGTTGTGACTACTTGTTTTATTGAGATAGCCTTGAAAATGTCCATTAGATTGTAAGCAACATGAGGTCAGGTTTTATGTCATTTTAGTAATCATTGAGCTCTGGTACAATGCTCGATCAAGTATATCCTTATATTTTTTTTGTTGGAAGAATGTGAATTACATTGTATTGCTGTGTCCTGGGTTTCCTTACTTGTTTTAGAGTGTCTTGTTGGACAGAAAGCAAGGCAGGGTAGTCTTTCCCTTCTGCTCCTGGCAAAAAAAATCTATATTTCAAAATTTTCAATTGTTGCCTTGTCTGTGAAACCCTCATATATTTTCTGGATACAGTTGACCTAAGCTCTCTTCTCTTAATGTATCCTTTACTTCTGTTATAGCATCTATGACATTTTTATTGCATTTTTTTTTTTGTCTCTGCCTCTTTTTGCCACAGTGGAGAGCTCAATTTCTATTTGTCTGTCTACCCTTGACATTTGGTAGGAATGAATTTGGCTGCAAGTAGCAGGAAATTCAATTAATAGAGGCTTAGACAAGGGTGTAGTTAGCTCATAACATACATTAAGGTAGGCAATTTAGAGTGAATGTCTTCAAGGACACATATCTTTTTGTTTTTCGAATTCACCAAGCTTAGTATGTGGTTTTCATTCTCATGATGGTACAACAGCTATACTCCACACCTCATATCTGTATTCCATGCAGGAAGAAAGAGGGAAAATGACAGAAGGGTTTGCCAGATGTATGTTCTTCATAAAGAGGCTTTCCTCTTACTAGAGTTGGATCACATGACCACCCTTAGTTGCAAGGGAGTCAGAGAACTTTTCCAGCCCTTCTATAGAAAGGCAGGGGGCAAAGGCATTGTGGATGGCATTTAGTAGGTAGTCTACAATGTCATGCTCATGATTGGGGTCGCCCTCAAAAATGTTCTGGCATATATACAATTAATTATGTCACACATTGAACATATTTTAGCTGTAGGCTTACCATCTTAAGTATCAAGGACAAAACCTGTTTCTTTGCTATTTCTTCAGATTTTTTGTGTCTATTTTTAAAAGTGTGGTCTGTCTCATGGTTTCAAATTAAACTTACTTTGACCATTTTTAAGATATAGGATATGGTCAGAGATAGAAAGAAATAAGCAGTTATACAGGAGAATGTGGTTCCAGGAACTTGGCCCCAGCAGTATGGAAACCATTTAACTCTTCAAGTGATGGACTCCATAAATAATCTGTCTGCTTCTTAGGGTTCCGTGATCTCTAGATATCCTTCAGTATTTAATTTCTTATTCCTTTTGTGAATAACATTTAATAGAGGTAGGGGCTGCAGCACTTAATGGGTTCCTGTATTTGTAGTATGAATTTATTTAATTTTCATATCAACAAAGAGTTTCTGGGTGTTCTCTTCTTTAGGCTGGATGGAATGAAGCTGAGGACACCTGGGAACCCTTAGGATTCTCTAATATTTACTGCAGCCCCCTGCTCTTATAATCTATTGCCTTCTTAGGGTCCTCCTTCCTGTGATTTTTGAGTTTACATGTGTCCCTTACTGCATTCTCTAGATAGTTGTGAATTTTAATGTGTCTTTCTTTATCTGAATTCAGAGTATTTGTTTTCAGCCACGAATTCTCTTGTTCTTACTTAACACAGCAACAGGAAAACCCTACAGTCATATCTGTTAGATGAATCCCTTTCCACAGAAACCAAGCTTTCCCCCACAGGCCTTTCATTTAATTATTCTAGGAAAGGCAGGAACTCTTCTGAAGGCCTCTCTATTTTTTAATTGCTTCTAAGAAATTTATGTGTCATTCAGTGCTGGAGAAACTTTTCCCTTGGAGGAAGAGATCAAGTAAGGACCACACATGTAAGGATCTTACTTAGAGGATAGTTCTTTTGTGTAGGCGTTTTATTTTTGAGAGAAAATGTTCTTTATGCATACTTCTGAAATTAAAAGAACAAACAAACAGTGTACACATGAAGAACAGAGAGCACAAAAATTAACCAAAATCTATAGGTTCATAAAAGAAGAAATATAGCTAGCTCATACATACATTACATATTATCTATTCAACCTGACATATGATCAAGGAATTGTAAACGAAAGTAGTGAGATACATTTTTAAATTATTGAAATCACAAATATGAAAAACAAAATGCTCTGCCTGCTGATGAGTATGGGGAATAGATGGTTTTTAAAAGTTTGTTATTAGCCCTGGCCGGTTTGGCTCAGTGGTTAGAGCGTCGGCCTGCGGTCCTGAGAGACCCAGGTTCGGTTCCCGCTAAGGGCATGTACCTCGGTTGCAGTTTGTCCCCGGCCCTGGTCAGTCGTGCGGGTGGCAGCCACTCGATGTGTCCCTTGCACATCGATGTTTCTCTCTCTCTCTCTAAGTTTGTTATTAAATTATTATAAAAGATGCAGCATACCAAAAAGTAGAGAGGCCAATATAGTAAAAACTTCTATGTCCACCATTTTATTGCACATCTTTTTCAAAAGACCTAACTCTCCCTATCTGGTTCCCTTTTTTCCTTTATCCTTCCTTCACTGTCATTCCCCCTAAAGCCAGCCTGAGACAGCCATTCTCCATAAACAAGCACTTTTATACACTGGTGATGAAAATGAAATTGCTTCAAACTTTCTGGAGCACAAGTTAGCAACATGTATCAATCACCCTAGGAATTTAATAACAGAAAATAATGAGATGTGCATAAAAATTTAGGTAGTTACATGTATCAACATTATTTATAATAAAGAAATGGAACCATCTTAATTGAACACCAATAGAGGACTGGTTAAATAAATGGTAAATATTTATATAATGGATTATGAAGCAGCAGTGAATGTTTATGATACTCCAAGTTGTTTGCCTTAAGTATATATTAGTTCAGTGAATAGAAAATATTTCCCATACATGCCATGCAAGAATCTGTAGTCAGTCCATTGTTAAAACATAATTTGGTTTTGTGTTATGAACAGTTAAAATAGAAAAAGAAAGGTAAAGGGGAAATGGGATTTTAAAAGATTGGTTGAGTTTATAGTGAAAGAAAGACAGTGAAGTAGGCAGTTGGTTTTTTTTAGATTGTTCAGGGGACTTGGTGTCTTAGCCATCAGTTAGAGTATTTTCTCTGTGTCAGCTGGGTGCTGGATGCTATTAATGTTGCCGGAAGGCCAAGTGATAGCCTCATCCCTCAAGCAGCTTGCAACCTTGGGGAGGTAATACACACACAGTTGGAAAATTGGTGAGTAAACAAGAGAGGGTAATGTTAGATAAATGAATACTATACATTTGAATGGTATAAAAATCCAGAGGACAGAGAAATTATGCCCTGCAGGGCTGATAGAGATATATTTCTAAGGAAGTGGGGAATTATGCTGTCATTAATGATGGAATTAGGATTCAAAAGAGCCAAAAGTAAGGGACAGTGTGCTTAAATTAAGGGGAATGGTGTGAACAAAGTCTTGGAAGTGGGAAAGTATATAGCATTTATAGAGAGATAGCTTGACTTGATTTGTAGGACACTTGTTGGAGTGGAAAAGCAAATAAAAGGGGCCAGAACACATCATAGAATGTCAGCCTTGTTCTAGGATCTCTGATTCAGGTTTGTATGAAGTTGTATTTATTGCCTTTAATTGCAAGTTGCAAAAAAAGGACATTTTAGTATAAGAAAATCTGTTGTAGGACAGGAAATTAAGCTGAGAGCTGAAAATTTTCCATTCTTGATTTAGTACTATAGTGGGGATCGCATGAGTAAGACTCAGGTCTAGAATATACTACAGGTTCTACCAAGTAGCCACTCTGTAACCAAATAAAAGTCTCGGTTTCCTCATCTGTAAGACAAGTATGATATTATTCACCTTACTGTACCCACAGGGTTTCTAATTTGAAGATCAGGTAAAATGATGTAAAGATTCTTCTTGATGCAGTGCTTAGGGAACAACAACAACAAAAATCTTCAGATAGAACCTCCTCTGTACCTTCTGCTCCCTTACCTCAACTCTGACCAAAAGGTATGTAACTTGGGGAAATAAAGGATTTAGAAAGAACTTTGAACCAACCTGAAAATTGAGTACTGAAGTGACAAGAGTTCAGAAACATGATGTGCCCATCCCCAGTACCAGAATCTTTAGTGCTTTGTCCCCAGGCAGCTGGACTCCAGGATTTGGGGGTTACTTTTTATACATCATCATATCATAATAAACATCCTCTTTTGTTTTAGCTAATTGATCCCAGGACTATACTGATATGGTAAATCAACTTGGCAAGCTTTCCACAACGTACTTACAGGGAGTAGTAATTCTTAGGGACCTAAGGCTACCCCCAGGTGAACTCTAGTCCCTCATCTTTAATTATTTAGAATAGAATGATATTTGGAATTCTGTTGGCCTATGGAATTGCTTATCAGCATTTATTTTAGGGCTGTTGCTCTTTTTTGGAGAAAGTCCTGCAGAGTGAGTCAGATCTTTTATGTTTTGTTTATAGAGCGGCCATCAGGATATTTGTCTGGATCAACCAGGTATAATGAGTTTCCTTTGGCACAGGCATTCCACTGGGCCTGGTGTCTTTTCAATTGTATCTAGGTAGTTTTAGAAAGCCATTTTAGTGAGTCAATTTCTAAATATATTATACAAATGTAAGGTACATTGCTTCTGTGCTGTCTTGTCATTGGCTTACTTATAATAAAGAAGCTATAAGAAATTGTGCTATAAAATACCTTCTTGTATTTACTATATGGATGTTGAAGATATTGTTCATCACATTTCTTCTTTTGAGGACACTAGGGATAATTTTTCTCCCTAATCTGAAAAACCATAAGTAATCAGGCTTCTGGGCAACTGGTTTGTTTTTATCTTAGGGACACCATGGCTCATGTAACTAATTGTGTTTTTCTCTTGGCATTAACTACTAGGAGGTTTATCTGTTCCTTTAACAAAGAAACAGAACCTTTCATCAAGTATTTTGTGGGGGGAGGGTATACAAATCTGAGTCCTCTCTATTCAGTTATATTACCCTGAAGCTTTTCTATTCTTGATATTCCCTTTATCACATTTTCCTCAAATGCTTTTTACTTTTTAATTTAATTTTATATTATCTGATTTTATATAAATTATCCTCATTTCTTTCCAGAACTAGGTAGGGCATGAGTAAGTAAAATTAATTTTATACTGAAATGTTCAGATTAATGTGTTGAATTGGTATCCTTTTTTTTTTTTTTTGGTTTGTTTGTTTATCATGATGTGGTGATTAGGGTGCCAAATTAGGTGATATCTGGAAGTATATAACAATTGAACCTTCAGATAAGGTAAGCTAATTTTCTATTTTGTGGACGCTCCAGGACCTTGGTTTCATTTGTCGTCTGCTTTTTGTCTGAGAATTCATAACTTTCCAGTTCAATCAGATTGATCAGTAGAGTTTAAAAACAGTAGCAACAGATCATTCAAACCTAGTGTTTCCTATCATCTTTAGATTTTTTTTTGTAATCTGTGTGGTCAGTGTTGCCCAACAGCATCAGTGTAATAGCTTCTCCTAGGAATCCATCCTTGTGATTTTTTTGTTGTTGTTGTTGAACTGCTTCTGCAGGAGAAAAGCAATTCTGTATGGACCTTTTTATTTTACCTTACAAATAAACCCATACTAATGCTTTTATAGAATGCAATCTTATTGTTGTGTAGTGTTATCAACTTAATTTTGTTCTTGAGACAAAATTCCTTTTAAAAATTTGAATGATACTTATAGGAAATGGACCAATACTCAGAAATGTTTTTATTGAAGAAGCTATGAATCTTGTTTATTTAAGAAATTCATCCTGAAAAATATATCTTCTTTAGAATTGAGGTTAATATTTTGTCTGTGTCTGACCTTTAAATTTTGGTTCTCCCAGTAGCTTTAATGTAATATCCTTGAAACATGTTCACTTCAGTGATATGCTTTGTTAGGTAGTGATGCAACATTATTACATGTCATAGAACTCTTCCTTTTAAAACCTGAGAGGTATGTCAGATTTGTTCCATATACTATTTGTGATGAATTCTCAATGCCATTTTTTGGTGATGTACATGCACAGTAAGACAATGGTGTATTAAAAATTTGAGAACCTATTTTTTTTTCTGGTTAATTTGTAAGTGTTGAGCTTTCAAAGTTTTTTAGTATATCTGACCTCCTTTAATTAAAAATATATAATAGCTGAACTTCTTATATGATCACATTTAAAGCACCAGTTTATTACATTTCAGGCTAAAATTCATTTAATTTTATTGTTGACAGTATTACAGATTTCCCCCATTTCCCCTCTCCTTTCAGCCTTTGCCCACACCACTTCTGTGTTGTGGTATGCCTAAGGTAATATAACCAAAACCACATTGTATATTCTACTTTTTTTCTCACGCACGGTGTCCTTTATGCATTGATCTTGTCCAGCAATATTAAATTTCTTTAACAGATTGTTCTGTTATCTGGAGAATCTTATTAAAATTTAATAAGTAAACTAAAAATAAGCAGCTAATGCCATAGTGCATTCTGGTAACTCATAAAAGAAAAAAAGAAAGTGAAGCTTAATGTAGGCCTGTGAGGGTAAAGAAAGGTGAGTATATATTTATTGGCGATTCTAGGGTATGTGTAAATTACCATTTTTCCTCTCTTGAGAAGTGTGATGTAATGGTACCATACTTGTAGGTGATACACATTTTTATTTGCAGAATATTTACTGTTTTTCCTACTAGCACTGAACTGTCTTGAATTATATAGCACTATATAATAGGCTTAAAGCCTATCTGTGCCCCTTGTTCTCCTTAGAAAAACTTTTCTACACAATGGCTGGCTATAATGATTTTTGAGCTATGTCCTATGTGTGCTATTCTTCACATTCATCAAAAAGAAGCAAATTCTGCCCACATGCATCACCTTCATACTAGCCTCTCCCTTATTGTCTCATTCCTAAGTTGAAGGTTCTTTCTGCCTTACTGCTTTTCTTGTTCCTCTTCTCAAAAGGATCTGCTTCAAGGTGGCTCAGTCACTACTTGTTGACAGAAGCCTCAGTGAAAACTCCTTGTATTACCACAAGCTAAAAAACCAGACAGAGCCCATAGATAACATTGTGTGTGTGTGTGTTTACATATGTTTTAATCTATTTCATCTTTTTTGCATATAGCTTTATTGAGATATACTTGACATATAGTTGACATGCATGCATATATTTAAAGTGTACAATTGGACAGATTTTTATGTATGTATACACTCATGAAATTGTCATCACAATCAAGATAATGAGTAATCTGTCATTCAAAAAAATGTCTTCCTGTCCTTTTATAATAATTCTTTCTCTCATGCTTTTTAATGGCTGAAAAGCTTTATTTACATATATAAAGTATCTATAATTTGTACTTACATATACTGATAGATAACATAATCTAATTTTTTGTTTAAATTATAGAATGCATGCTTGGCCCGATGACTCAGTGCATTGAGTGTTGTCCCATGGACTGAGAGGTCCCTGTTCGATTGCAGGCTTGATCCCCAGTAGGGGGTGTGCAGGAGGCAGCCGATTGGCGTTTCTCACTCACAATGATGTTTCTATCTCTCTCTCCCTTCCTCTCTCTCCCAAAAACAAAAAAAATCAATAAAAACATTAAAAAATAAATTATAGAACTTTTACCCCATTTGGAAAAATAAATCCCTGCCCTCCCCACCCCACCCCCATTTCAAGAATATGCAAGCCAGACTTACTGGGTTATAATCTTAGCTCTGCCACTTTACAAACAGTAGGACTTTGAGCAAATTGCTTAACTACTCTGTATCAAAATCCTTATCTGTACCTCTAGTACTAATGATAGTCCTATACTTAACTCATCATAAAATTGCAAAGATTAAAGTAATTAATATACATAATAAAGCACCATGTTATTGTCTGCTGTTGTTATTCTCCTGGATTATTCTGCTAAAGGCCTACGTTCTCAGTCTCCTGATGATATTAAAGCTGAGTTGATAGGGCCCTGCATTCAGGTATCTTACCAGCACTTACCTCTTCCTTTCACTCCTACTTCTGTATCACCTTCCTCTGAGCTCCTTGCTAAAGATAAGGAAAGGTATGTTTTAAATGCTAAGCTCTTTATTATTTAGATAATATTTTAGGGACATTTCATATACTGAGAAATACCTAAGATAGGATGCTTTTAAAGTCCTAATACCTTGTAAGTCAGGATGTCAGTGTGCCACTTGCATTTCTACATTGAAAGTTGTTAGTGAACACTTTGATAGTAGTAATTATACATGTACATTAACTAGTCCTTTAGTACCTACAAAATGTATATTCTATGAAATATCCAAAGATTTGAAATGTTTCCTGTCCTTGTGAAGCTGACTATCAACCTGAAGAAATATGATTAGATTTTGTTTTAGCAAATATGTAAAGACTGGGATCAGGTATTACATATTACATATTACATATACAGCAAAGGAAGAGTGAGTAGGTTTTACTGACTAAGGATGCTGCCACTGTGGTAAACCCATGTAATGGGCGTGTGAAAACAACTCAAATGTCCATCAGTGGTAGAATGAATAAATAGATAGGAATATATATCTAATATAGTCAATAGTGAGAATGAATGTACTACAACCACATACAACAATATAGTTGAAGTTCATAAACATGAAGTTGAACAACAAACTAGCTCTAAGATTATATACTATAAGTCCATTTATATGAAGATCAAAAAATATGCAAAATTCATCTATGATGTAAGAAAGCAGGCTAGTGGTTACTAGTGCCTATCTCTCCTGTCCTCATCTTGCTAATTCCAAGTATGGGGCTTGCCTTCATCACCATCACCTTCATGGAGTGTCAAGGGCTCTGTTTTTCAGTGCTTATGTTCCACAGAAGTTGCAAAGAGGGCTGTCTACATGGAACAAATTGGATGGGGACCAAATAAAGCCTCAGGCATGGATAGGCGTCCTTCTAGCAGGGAGATCATCAGCAAGGGATAACTACTGCTCAAGGGAAGCCTTCACTGTGCAC